TCATATGTATTGCGCATGTCCCCACTCGAAAGCAGGCTCTATGCGCTTTACACTATATTATTACCTCAGCAGACCATAGAACACCCAGAAACATTCTCAGCTTCCTGGGAAGCATACAGTGCAAGCAGCCGGTTAAGCGCTCAAACACTAACAAACTGACAAGATCTTTCACTGTCTATATCTTTGTCTTTGTTTGGACTTTGACATGGGGCGACATAAGAACGACATAAGACTATGAGAACGGTCTTCTCAACACGAAAGAGTGCAATTTAAGCAAATGAAATACACCAAGCTGAAAGACTCGCACGTGGATTTATTATCTGAAATAGAGTGACCAGAAGATCACAATTTGCAGGATGTTGATATGACCAGGCTCATCCATTGTAAACTGCTCTAAAAGAGCCCATGCCAGTTTCATCATCGCCCAGTTTACCCCGAACGGTCAAATACTTTCCATTATTCCCTACCCTGGGCTAGCTTCTTCGTATTTTCCAAATATCTATCCATTTTTCGGTTCATCATTCTCTACGACTTTTCTAAAGGTTCAACATGACCTTCCCTTGATCGTTTAACCTGTGGACTCCAAGTTAAAACTTTATTTGTTAAGTAGCTGCCTGATTTCCTAATGGTATGCTCAGTCCAATCGATCTCCACTGCTTTTTTCTGTCTGAACATTTTCTGCTTAATACTTCCTCACTGTCTGCCCATCTGATCCTGAGGAACTTCCTCAGGCATTTGTTGATGACAACCTGCATCCTCCAGCACTTTGTAAAGAGTGCTTTAGAAGAGCCAAACCCAGCTGCACCACCAAACAATCCCCAGTGGGCGTGCAAGCCAAGGAGTTTCTGTTCACATAATCTGTGAGTAAGCTTCCGAGGGTACTCTCCAACTAGTGCAGGCAAAGCTCTGGAAAACTGTATCTTGATCCCTTATTTTGTAAGTCGGGGCTTCCTTGGTTTTACGAAACAGTAAGCTCAGGTCAGGGACAATCTGTCTCGTGTGTCAGACATCTGAAATATTCTGTGCTAGATAAAAAGAACATGTCGATCTATGAGCCAAAATGAATCAGTGTGAATTGTGTGTGTTTTGAATCTTGACCACGTCAGCTAGACTAAGTGGGAATTTCCCATGTCAGAAAAGAAAATGACAAAGAAAACGCATGCCACGGATAAAACCTTTACTCTTAGGCAAGAAGACCTTGTGATGATTTGATGAATCTTCAGGTTGTACTTTTGGCACTGCCTATCAATTCCTCCAGCTCTTGTTTCAAAAGCATGCACATAATCTTCAATGCGACCTCGTATGATGCCATCTATTACTTATGACACAAGGCACAAGATGGTTTGATTGCAATTGAATTCACAAGTTGTTTGATGGACTTTTTTTCAAAGTGAACAAATGCATAAAAGGTTATAACAATATATTATTATACAGCTACGGGTGTGTGTGTGTGTGTGTGTGTGTGTGTGTGTGTGTGTGTGTGTGTGTGTGTGTATGTGTGTGTGTGTGTGTGTGTGTGTGTGTGTGTGTGTGTGTGTGTGTTTGTGTGTGTGAGA